TTCATTCCTTCCTTTCTCCCTTTCTCTCTTTCTCCCTCCCTCCCCCCATCTCTCTTTCTTAGGGAGATGGTGATGAAGATGAAGTGGATAATTCTTTTGAACTATCCATAAGAAATATCTCTGGTTGAAGCTATTCTCTTTGCTTCTCACTATCAATGAAAAATAATCTGGCCAAAGTCTTCTTCTTTTTTAGGGTGGGTGGGTGAGCTTTTGACACCTCCTTCTAGATAACAGGGATATAAACCTGTGGAAAGTTTTCACAGCAATATTCTGATAATTAAGAATCGTAAAAGAAGACTCCTTTTCAGTAAGATCTCTGCAGAAAAGGCTTTCTAGCTAAACTAAAGAAGTAAGTCTTTCCTGCTGTCGCTTGCCTTAACCATGCTAAATATTGGCTACACTTATGATAGGGCTGGCCCTTTTCCCAGACAGTTACTATGCCATGAGGCCAGATCAAGAAAAGCTGCAAGGCTACGTAGCACCAATCATTGAGCTTCCAGAATTGACTCACTGAAGCTTCTTGGGAAGAAGCCATAGGATATATTTCCTTCTGTGATTAGGAAAAGGAGTTGGAGGTTCACGGTAATAAATATATGTAATAAATAATAATTACTATGGAGTGGGATGGCTGTATAGGAATGATAGAAGCAGTCACAGTGTGAAGGGCTAGCAAAGATTTGGAGATCCATACGGATCGCTGGATTCTTGTGTTATCTTTCCGGCTCAATAGCCTAAATATCCTGCATCAAAAGAGTAGTTAGTTGCCAAGCATTCTGGTCAGAGATTATTTGGGATGGGATTCAAAAACAGCTTTCTTTTTATGGGCATGTTTGGGAATTCAAAAGAATGCTGATCTGCTTGTTGCTTTACGGACCCCTTTCTCTTTCTCCTTGTTCTTCTTGGAGGCTTCTCGCTCTTGGAAAGATATGGCTGGTAAGGTCTAGATACTCTCAGGGACTGAAATAGGAGCTTAGAGCATGTGCACTCATGTGGGTTTCCTCTCCCATCACCCAGAGCAGATTAGAGACAAGAGGAGTTGGAGAGCAATGCGTTCCCTGGCCTGACAATGGGTATGTCATCTAATGCAGGTGCAGAATGCTTGTATCTCTATATAGGTTTTCTATCTGGGCTCACACAGGGGTGAGTTTTGCTACTTCATAGGCCATTGTGATTTATTGCGAATAAAACTCCCAAATACCATCCGCATCCATGGGGTGATCAGGATAACTATTTCTACTCCTTTCAGTTTTTCCTCACTAACCCTTGTGCAGTCCCACGGGCAATCCAATTGTCAGAACACAAGCACAGGTTTTCTGCCAGTCTTTTAAATCGTTTAAAGGAAATTCAGAAATAAAAAGCATCGCTAGTGGCCATTGTTCATCACAGATCCTTTTATTATAATATTGTTTTCGTAACCATGGATATTGTTCTTTGTATTTAGTGCAATTTAGCTCTATAGTGTTAAGATGTTATCTACTAGAAAATTGGTACTGTAAGTGTTTTCCGTGACTTCCCCCTCTAAATATGATGATGCAGTTCCAGTGCAGAGCCGGGGCTTCTCCTTAATGGTTTTTGAATGTGTGTTCAGTGTGTTCAAGAGTTTCTGAACTTTGTATACTTTGTTTTACTTTGTACCTTCCATTATTCACTTTCGTGTATCCATTTTTCTTTCATTTTCAATACGATTAACAATTCTAGTTTGATGTAAAATACAGCCCCTTTAAAGGGACTGTACACAGGGATAGCTTTGGCTCCCCGGGGGAGCTGTGGCTTTGTGCTGCTTGGCCATGCTGGGGTTGGGCTTCGTGTTGTGAAGGGCTTCAAACCACATTGCAGCTCAAGGGCTTCTTGCAGTCCCAAAGCCATGGCACACCAAGAAGCCGCTGGACTGAAGCATGGCAAGCAGCAACAATACTGCATGGTTTTTGGGGGGGGTATGCTGCCCATAGGATAGGGTGCTGAACAAAGGCAAAGTTGGGAGAAAATAGGTAGATGGGGCAGTGGGAGGGGAGGCAGACCCTTACCTCACCAAAGCTCAGGGGTGAAAGAGATCAGCAACCAGAATAGGTTGGTTTGGGGTGGATCCACAGTTAATGACTGGTGGAATTTGCTTGATGGTAGCAATGAGGAGTAAGGGGGTTGCTATTGCTACATGATGTGGTTGTAGGATGCCCTAAAGGTGCTTTTTTCAAAAGCAACTTGACTTTCTAGGGTTCCCCCCTCCCTTTGAAAATATTTCGTTTCTCATTCAAGAAGCTTCTTCGGTTCTTTCCAAAGGAAAAAAAAGAAGCCAAGAACATCCAGTTGCCTTTTGGAAAAAACACCTTTGGGACAACCGTGACTTGGATGATTGAAAATCTTCATTACATGACATCCCACTTTATGACCACAATATGGTTGTGTATGAGAGGCACCTCTTGGTTGAATCATAACCACGATGTGAAAGTGACAAGAGTATTAGATTTATCTGGACACCTCTCCCAATTGTTGGAAAGGGAATGAGAAGAGCTTAAAGAGCAAAATCTTCTTGCTGTCCAGAATTCATCTCATGAAAGGAGGCAAATATACGTGTTCCAGGATAATGTTGCAGGATCTGGGTCAGTCATCAGAACCAGAGGTTGAATCTTCTGAGGTTTCGGACTTGTGCTGGAGCCCATCCTTAATAAACTTCTCTCTCATCAGAATGTCTCTCTAGCAGAATGTTTCTGCTAGAGAGAATTTCCCTGAGGATGGGCTCTGGCAAGAGTCCAAAAGCTCAGAAGACACAATCTCTGGTCCCGGTGACCAACCCATATTGGATCTTGCAGAATTCATTTCCCTCAATTTTCGTTTCTTGAAACTACTTTGGATTCCAATCTTAGAAACCTGTCTGGCTTGAAGAAAAAGTGTTATTGAAAAATAATTAGAAGCATGGAAGAGTAACTTTCCTTTCCCTTTTACTTCGACCTTTTTGCTCTGAGGGACGTGGTGTTTCAGTGGCTAAGACATTAAGCTTGTCAATTAGAAAGGTCAGCAGTCCAGCGGTTTGAATCCCTAGTGCCGCCTAATGAAGTGAGCTCCTGTTATTTGTCCCAGCTTCTGCCAACCCAGCTGTTCGAAAGCAAGTAAAAAATGCAAGTAGATCAGTAGGGAACACCTTTGGTGGGAAGGTTACAGCATTCTGTGCACCTTTGGCATTTTGTCATGCTGGTCACATGACCACGGAGACGTCTTCGGACAGTGCTGGCTCTTCGGCTTTGAAACGAAGGTGAGCACCACCCTCTAGGTCAGGAATGACTAGCACGTATGGGCAAGGGGAAGCTTTACCTTTACCTTTGCTCTAGTCCTCAAATGTTATGAATGTACAGTCTATAAGCTTTACCTCCTCTTGTAAAGTATTCAATTCGTGTGTGGTTGGTTTGTTTGGTTAAAACTCTGCTTCTCAAACTTGGCAATTTTAAGATGTGTAAACTTCCAACTTTCAGAATTCTCCAACCAGCCTACATACCATAAAGTATGCCAAGACTGAGAAATGCGAGTTAAGACATGAGTTTAATGCAGGCAATCCCCTTTTGCAGGCTTCAGAATTGCAGATCACTATGCTACCAAATCCCCACATGGTTTCTGAAAAATAGCAGCATAGTTACCTGCCATTTTGAGATGGAAAATATGAAAACCTCTCTGCCTACTGTCATGCATTACTTTCATCCTGTTCTCTTGATGCATCCTATTTGCCTTCATGCTTGCTTGTAAGCAGATATGTTCTTCTGACTTCAGTGAAGTATAGGAAAGTACACAGGCAGTTCTCGATTTACATTGGGCTTAGGTCCCATTTGAAGTTATAATGGACCTCCGCAGGGCTACTATGACCCAGATTCCAGGCTCCAATAGCTGCTCCTCTTCTGCAGTCATGTGATCACATTTTGGATACTCAGCATACCCGGCCTGCATTTATGGCCATTTGTTGCATCCCATTGCATATGGCTGCAATTTACAACATTTTGTAAACTGGAAGTAAACCCGCATTTACTTCCAGTTTCTAGCAAAAAATGTCCTTTGTGGACAATGGATTCACTTAATGGCCGTGGTGGTCACTTAATTACCATGGCACTCACTTTACAACCACCATGTTGTTTTACAAGTTAGGGCTCAATTATAGTTATATGTTGCTTTACAAGTTAGGGCTCAATTATAGTTATACGTTGAGGTCTACTTGTATCCACACTGGCCACACTGGTGTGGAATTGCAACAGGTTGTTGATTCCTTTCTATAAGGCATCCACATAACCTGTAAAACAAGCCCTTATGAAACCAATGGCATTTACTTCTGAATAAATGTATGCCTTAGATTGTCTTGTAAATTAAACAGTGTATAAATAGTTGGTTGACACATAAATAGAAAAGCTCAGTACCTTTTCTAGTCTCCCTACAATTTTAGTAATGAAGTTATGTTTGTTTTAATTATACACTTCTAAAATAAATATTGAACAGGTGCACAATAGGCATCAGGGGGAAAATGTATTTTTAAACAACTGCTATAGTGTATTTTTAATTAATTTAATTAGCAGTGTGCTAGAAATTGGGCTCTAATTTGGTGAGTTCCAGTCTTGTCTTAGATATAAGCCCTTTGGATAACCATTTGTCTGAAACGGTATAGGGTTTCCTGCCTAGGTAGGGGGTTGGACTAGAAGACCTCCAAGGACCCCTCCAACTCTGCTATTGTATTGTATAAAAGCCGGTTGGGTGGCTTTGAGCCAATTATCCTCTCTCTCAGCCAGACATACCCTACAGGGTTGTTGTTGCAGGAAAACAGGAGGAGGAAAGAATTATTTATAAAAAATAATAAGGGCAGGGTACATATAAATAAAAAATAAAAATAAAAATAATTGATTTGTATTTTTATGTGGCTGTAAACACACATTATGTATGTATATTTTTCCTATAAAATCTGCTAAATAGATGAAGCAAGGTTTATGTACAGAAAAAGCACAATGCCTTCTTAATTGCAATTCTACTTGCAGGGAAGAACAATTATGAAATGAATGTAAGAGCTACTCTTCTAGAAGTCCCTTTGGAACTGTGGATTTTATAGCATCCAAATGTTATTTACAGAACAGAAAACCAGATTCTGCAACAATGAGTGAAAAGAGGTGAAATACAGGTAGTCCTCAATTTACAGCCGTTTTCTTAGTGACCATTCAAAGTTACAATGGCATTGAAAAAAATGTGACTTATGACCGTTTTCCTTTTATGACCTTTGCAGCATCCCCATGATCGTGGGATCAAAATTCAGATACTTGGCAACTGGCTCTTATTTATGACTGTTGTTGTTGCCAGGGGTGGGCTTCAAAAATTGCAGCAATGGGTTTGCTGCAGCATTGCTGGATGGCCATGGCCAAGGTGGCCATGGCCTCATTTGCCTCCTACAGCCTGGCAGGGGGGGGGGATTTTTCACCTTTCCCAGGCTCCAGAGGCTTTCTTTGAGCCTCCAGGAGGGTGAAAACTGCTTCCCCCGGGCTTCAGAGCCCCCCCCCCCCCGAGGCAGAAACAGGCCCATTTCTGGACTTCCAGAATCTTTAGTAGGCCTGTTTTTCACCCTCCCCGAGCCTCCACATCAGCCCTGCACTTACCTGGCATGATGAACAGGCTGCGTGGAGACTCCAGGGAGGGGCGAGGTGGGCATGGCCAGCCAGGGGTGGCATTTTGGGGTTTGCAGAACTGGGCAGAATCCTAGCTTAGAGGATTTCCCGAATCAGTGTGAATTCCCAGCAGCCCACCCCTGGCTGTGTCCCCAGTGCTAAGTCCTCAACTTGCAACCACGTGATCTTCATTGGGGCAGCCAGATTCACTTAACAACTGAGTTTCCGATTTAACAACTGTGGCAAGAATGGTCGTAAAATGGAGCAAAACTCACTTAAGAAATGTCTCACTTAACCCCAGAAATTTTGGGCTCAATTGTGGTCATACTTCGAGGACTGTTTATATGTGGGAACTACCAGAAACTCAAGTGGGAGAGGGTGCTCCTTGGTTATTACTATAACTATACACAATGCATACTATACACAATGACTCTAAACGGGAAGGCAGGGAAGCAGGAAAATAGGATGGAGGGTAATATAAATTACAAAGATAGCAACAATAAATAAGTGGCCTACTTCATATGTGTACACTTCTCTATCATGTGCTTCAGCCACAGTAGAAAGCATCTACCAGGGAGTTGCCCATTTTCACTTTCTGAGATATAAATAGAATATTTCATTGCACTTTTTTCAGATATAAACTTGTACGTGCATTGAAGAAAGTGTACCATAGTTCAGAAAGGAAGCCAATACACATTTCGGTAGAGGTTTTGCTTTGTAGGGTGGAAAAGAAATAGTTAGTGGGCTAGTGGATCTGTAGATCCAGATCTCTGTAAACCTGAACATTGGGAATAAAGGGAATAGTAATTACCGGTATATTTATATATGAAAGGAGGAGGAGGAAATGATGATGATGATGATGACAGCAGTCTCAAAACAGCAGTGCTAAAACAAAGGTCAAGTCGGATGGTCTCCTTCTATAATATGTTGAGGTTTTCAGGATCTCAAGCACAGAGCCTTAGACAAGCTGATGCCAAGTTTAGAAGTCAGAATTTCTGCACTGCATTCCATCTTAGGTTTTCCTTAACTTCTGAAACCTAAAGCACTTTCAGAAAACTCTTTTTGTAACCATGTTATGCAAAAAATACTCCCGCTTTAACTGTGGAGGTGGTCCTCAACTTACAACAGTCCACTTAGTGACAGTTTGAAGTTATAACATCACTGAAAAAAGTGATTTACGACCATTTTTTACACTTACCCCCATTGCAGCATCCCTATGGCCACGTAATCAAAATTCAGAAACTTGGCAACTGACTCTTTTAAGGCAGCTGCAGTGTCTTGGGGGGGGGGGTCATGTGATCAACTTTTGAGACCCTCTGACAGGCAAAGTCAATGGGGAAGCCAGATTCACTGGACAATCATATTAACAGCTGCAGCTATGGCAGGAAAGATCGAAAAATGTGCCAAAATTCAATTAACTGTCTTGCTTAACTACAGAAATGTTGGGATCATTTGTGCTCATAAGTTAAGTACTATCTGTATGTAAAGAATCTCTTGGATTTTGGGGGTGGATCAGCCCCCTTAAGGCTGTGCTGAAAAAGAGATATTGGCAGCAGCACAACGTTAGAAATAGCAAGCATAATTTCTGACTTGGTTTGGACAAAGAGAAGGAAACTGGTTAGGATCATTTGCCCTTCAACCAATTATCATCTGCTTTGACTGGCAGTTCTTCAAAACCCATCCCCCTTCCCCCCACCGTTTCCTTCTGCCTGATTATTTAATGCAAGGATAATCAGTGTTTTTGCATTTTGGAGAACACATTTCTTTTAAAGTTTGGCCTTCGAGGGCTGGAGGGGAATGTGGTGATGAGAGGGATGAGGGTGTCATTTCTGGGAAAGGATCACAAGAATGAAGGGTGTTAAAGGTTGTCCCTCCTTGATTTAATCAGAGAATCCAAGAGTTGATGGTTCTGCAGTAGCCATGCTTCTTCTGCAAAATTCCTTTACTAATGAACTCTTCATTAAGTGATTTGGAAGCAAGATGGAAGAACTGTTTAAAATCTAGAAACTATTCAATGGTGAAATTCCACTTCCCTAATAACCATTCTACTGTTTCCCCATAGGCTTTGGTATCCGTAATATCTCTTTAAAAGACAAAAAGAAGGGCAGTTGTTTACCATAGATAGGAAAATATGTTGCCGAACAGTCAAGATAGCTGGAACACACAACATCCCAAAATATCCACAGCCCTATCATGCTTAAGCTTACTCACTAGCTGGAGTTTACTGCTTCCTTCAGATGTTGCTGAAACAAATAACAGCAAGGGGATATAGGCATTTTGGTTTTACACTAGAGTCCCAGCTCATTCAATGACCCACTGTTAGAAAGGCACCAAAGGATCTTTTACATTGGCACCAGTATTGCAAGAGCAGTTGCTAAGTTTAAGAGAGGGAGGAAAACGGACATTTGTGGCAGGGAGAAATGGGTTAAAACCAGAGGTGGTATTCAGCTGGTTCTCTCCAGTTTGGGTGAACTGGTAGCAGTGGCTGCGGGAAGCTCTGCCCACCCACCCTGACATAATGTGTGAGCACTGCGCATGCGCAGAAGGCGGTACGCATGCCCAGACATGGCGTGTGAGCTTACATTTGCAAACCGGTAGGGAAGGTAAGTGAATCCCACCACTGGTTAAAACCGTTTTCTCACTTATTGGTCCCTATTCTAATCAGTTCTCCTGTGGTAGCTGAATTCAGATAAATCCCAGATGGCTGAAAAATCTGCTGTATGGATCTCATACCACTTAAGGTAAGCTGTGCAATCAAAGATTTGCATGGAATTGAGGGAGTCAGAAATTTAGGGAGGCCATTTCCATGGAGAGTACCAGGCTAGATAAGGCTGCAGATCTTCAAAGAAGGCAACATTTTCTGTCTTTTGATTCAGATTACAACACCACACCCTTGAAGCTGGTGACCAAGTGAGCAAAGTTCATCTCTCTCTCTCTCTGCGTGACCAGCTGGTGCAAGCAAGCTGGTACGTGTTGTTTTACACATTGAATCAATCTTCAATTGCATGTGATACTAGAGTGAGGAGTCCGCATTTTCAGGTTCATGTTTCAAATTATATAAATGACATCAGGATTGAGAGAGTGAGCCTGTGAATAAATGGTGAGAGGGGTTTGATGTTTAGAACATCTGGATCCAGCTGTGGATTGGAAATGAGATTTGAGATATATTACTTGCCCAAGACATTTTGCTTCTCTGGCCCAGAACAGCAAATTCTTTCTGCCCCCCCCCCCCATCAAAATGGATTATTATTATTATTTATTACATTTATTTGCTGTCCGTCTCACCACATGGAAACTCTGCTTATAGAGTTAAAAGCAATAAAATGATACACACAGAAACACACATATATATAGCAATAAAATTATAAGTTATAATAAAAAGATAGGGAGGGAGGGAACAAGGTGTGCAAGGGGATGAGGTGGGGTTTGCTACTGGTCCATCAACCACTTCCAGCACGGAACTTGCTCATTAGGGTCCCAAACCAACTGGCAGAACTAGATCTTCAGGACCTTGTAGAGGATCAGGAGGGTGGGAGTAGATCTCACCCAGGGGAGGGGCAAGATATTCCAAAGGGCAGATGCCATTTTGTCCTCTTAAAATCTGTGGTCATGAACTTTAATTGCTTTTGTAAGAACTCCTCTCCTGATATTTTCCCCCAACCTGGGATATAAGCAAAATGTAGTTTATAATACATGTGTAACATAACCTCTTAAAAATATGAATTATGATTTTCAGATGCTTGGCAGCTGGCTCATATTTTAGGTAGTTGCTGTGTCCTGGGGTCATGTGATCATCTTTTGTGACTTTCTGGCAAGCAAAATCAATAGAGAAGCCAGATTCACTTAACAACCATGTTACTAATCTAACAACTGCAATGATGCACTTAACAACTGTGGCAAGAAAGATTGAAAAATGGGGCATAATTCATGTAACAAGTGTCTCGCTTTACAGCAGGAATTTTGGGCTCAATTGTGGTTGCAAAATCATCTGACTGCCTGAATAAAACCAGTGATTAAACTTGGCGTTTGTAGAGTTAATCCCACAAGGTTGTTTTTTCTCCATCTCCAGCATGAAAAATATGCTAATATCAAATAATTCCTCGCTGTTTTTTTCGTTTAAGATCTGCCGTCTCAGACAGCTTCTTCATTCTATGTGAAATACTCATGGTAGTGCCGAGTTTTGCTTCTGAAGTACCCTGTTTCCCTGAAAATAAGAGCTCCCCAGATAATAAGCCCAATCAGGCTTTTGAGTGCATGCGCTAAAATAAGTCCTCCCCTGAAAATAAGCCCTCCCCAAAAATATTGCAACCCAGCAGCAGCAGCCATGAGGTGACCATGCTCGCTGCCTCCTGCACCTTAAAAATAAGAAGACCTCCCTGAAAATAAGGCCAAGCACTTATTTTGAAGGTCAACAGAAAATAAGACCCCGTCTTATTTTGTGGGAAACACGGTAGAACAAGTAGCATAGAACCAACTAGGGCTCAACACTTTTAAATTTTGGAACGTTTTTGTTTAAAGCAGAATTATTTAGTTCTTATTCTGCCTTCTGATAGTTTGAGTCCTGCTCCATTCGAGGTGCTGCAGTGATATATTTTCTGTACGATAGCTGCATTGTTCGTGTGACACCTGCCAAACTGGATGCAGCTGGGCCAGAAGAGGCTGAAGAAGGCAGGAGCCTCTCTAACGGCAGCCATCCACCCCTTCTTCTCAATAAAGAGCCAGTTACATCTGACTCAACCTCCAGCCAGTTCCAGAATTGGTGTGATGCTTCCACTCTCACGGGTGAGTATTATTCTACTACCTGAAGGCTAAGTTCAGTTTATATCTCCTGAATAGTGAATATCTGCCTGCAACATAGAACAATGGAGTTTGGTAGTGATTTCTTCTTCTTAGGAAATGCTGGGAGCTGTAATCCAGCAAAAGGGGATGTGACTTTCATTAAACTCCCAAGAATTCCCAAGATTCTTCTGCCCAAGAAGCTCTATCAGGGGTGTCAAACTGGCTGCCCATGGGCTGGATGTGTCACGCACAGGCCACGCCCACCCCAGCTCCATGAATGGGAAAAGCAACACAAAACATCATGTGACAGCAATGTGATGTGGCGAGTTTGACACCCATGCTCTAGGGAATTAAACCCTGCAAGGTCAATATCAAATTGTCATGGGTTGAAGTGTCCTAAAAATGAAGCATCTGTAGACCGTCAGACGTAGAACAATTCTTAGGAGCGCCAACTAGCATGAAGACTTAATAATTAGCAATATTAAAAAATGAAACAAAACAAAGACCTCCCCATTTCCTATTTTTATAGATGTTAATATTTGCATCTGAATTATGTAAAACCAGATTTGACTCTTTGTGGATTCATATTTGGCTCCATACTTCTATTATGAGGTTAATATGTAGGTAACAGAATGTAGTAGCCTTTCCTATGATGACATTGCCTAGATCAGTGGTTCTCAACCTGTGGGTCGGGACCCCTTTGGGGGTCGAATGACCCTTTCACAGGGGTCGCCTAAGACCATCTGAAAACACATATTTTCGATGGCCTTAGGAACCGAGACACCAGTTTTATGGTTGGGGGTCATCACAACATGAGGAACTGTATTAAAGTGTCGCGGCATTGGGAAGGTTGAGAACCACTGGCCTAGATGTTTTGGGAAAAATAATATACAGGAATTATTTAACATCAGAAATCACGGGGCTTCTAGTAAATACTCTTGGGAATTTAAAAGATTAATCCAAATATGTCTTGTTGAGTTTTATATAGGACATCCATAGACAAGCCACAAATTAGCAGTTAGAAACAAGAATGCATACAATTAAAACTATATTTATTAAGTATAAAAATAGCAAAAAGAAAATAAATTAACAACAACAAAAAATCCACAAACATATCTCAAATCACAACCGTCCTCTGATGGCCGAGCTACATATGTTAAAAGTTGTGGAGCATTTGTAACCTAGTAAAATAAATAAATTTAAAAATAATCCCTAGTATTAAAATAAATAAAAAATAGAACATGGAATAACAGAATCGGAAGGGACCTTAGAGGTCTTCTAGTCCAACTCTCTGCTCAAACAGGACACCCTATACCATTACAAATAAGTGGCTGTCCAATCTCTTCTTAAAAGCCTTCAGCGATGAAGCACCCATGATTTCTGAAGGCAAGGCATTCCACTGATTAATTGTTCTCAGCTTTAAGAAATTTCTCCTTAATTCTAAGGAATGGCAGAATAACAGAGTTGTAAGGGACCTTGGATATCTTCTAATTCAACCCCTGCTCAGGCAGGAGACCCTCATTTTGAAAGCCTCCAGTGATGGAGCACCCACAAGGAAAGCTGAACCACTTGTTATTTGTTCTCATTGTTAGGAAATTTCTCCTTAGTTCTAAGTTGTGTCTCTCCTTGGTTAGCTTCCATCCATTATTTTTTGTCTTGCCTTCTGATGCTTTGGAAAATAAATTAACCCCCTCATCTTTGTGGTAGCTCCTCAAATATTGGAATCTATTGCTCTCGTGTCTTCCCTCGGCCTTCTTTTCACTAGACTAGACATACCCAGTTCTTGCAACTGGTCTTCATAAGTTTTAGCCTCCAGCCCTCTAATCATCCTTGTTGCTCTTCTCTGCACACTTTCCAGTGCCTCAACCTATTTTTATATTGTGATGACCAAAATTGATGTAGTATTCTAAGTGTGGTCTTACTAAGACTTTGTAGAGTGATATTAATACTTCACATGATCTTGATTCTATCCCCCTATTGATGCAGCCTAGGATTGTGTTGGTTTTTTTTTTTGGCTGCCATCGCACACTATTAACTCTGATTTAAGTGATTGTTCACTAGAACTCCAAGATCCCTCTCACAGTTACTGGCATTGAGCCAAGTTTTATCCAGTCTGATCTTTACAAATGGTTTTTCTTGCCTAAGTCTAAAATTTTACTTTTATCTACATTGACTTTCATTTTATTAGTTAAGGCCCAGTGTTCAAGTGTGTGGGATCTTTTGGGATCTTAAGCTTGTCTTCTGGGGTGTTGGCTATTTTTGCTAGCTTAGTGCCATCTGCAAATTTGATGAGTTCCCCCTTTATTTCCTCATCTAAATCACTCATGAAGATATTAAAGAGTACCTGGCCTAAAACAGAATTATGTGATAACTCGCTGCCCAGCTGTCTCCAAGTGGATTTACTGTAGTCCTGCTGAGGGTTACACACTGAGTATGATTTGCTAGCCAGTTACAAATCCATCTGGTGGTGGTAAAGTCTATCCCACATTTTTCTGGCTTTCCAAGAAGTAGGTTGGCCAATGAATGTAAAATGCCAATGAAGTAGAATGTCAATGAAGATGGCATTCTAAAGATAAGATTGCATCTCCATCAAAAAGGTTTAAAGGTCCATATTACTGCTAGGATGAGATGGCTCATCTTATGTAAGCTGGTTTGGATTATAATGGTTGAATAGCAAATAATTATTTTTATTGCTTTTTAATTTATGGGACTGACTGTTTGGTAGCTGCAGATGTACTTGAATTCTTTTTAATTTCGGTCTTCTTCAACCAAAAGAAATATGTTCCATCAGTCAATGGTTAAAAAAAAACCCTGATTGATACCAATAGATTAATGCCCAGGAATGTCTATTCTATTTGAATGAACTTAAAACTCCCAAGTTTTCAGACTTGCAAGAATCCATTAATGTAGTCTTTATCATAAAATGTGTCAGGGTTCCAAATAGTATCCTCCTTAAAATTAAAGTCCGAGACTAGAGTTTCCTCAAAGTTCCAATTTATTAGAAGAGCCATGTTGGCACATTTGGGAAAACTCAAATGGGAGGGCTTCTAGGTTTTCCCAACCCAGTTGAAAGTTCAATTCCTTGCCCCAGCATCCACATGTCCATCACATGGTCCAATCAGCCACTGTCCCACTTGGAGATTCCTCCCAGCAACACACCTCCAGGTGTCAAGGCAAATTACCTTGACTTTCTGAGAAAGAATGTTTTGACTACACAGCTCTCATGCCCCGTACAATCCCGTGACCCGTCAAAACCGCGGTAAACAAAAGCGCGCTCGACGAAAGCGCGTACCTGATGTCATCAGCAGCGCGATGAAAAAAATTAAAAATAAATTAAATTGAAATTAAAATAAAATTAAAGCAAGCCGATTCACATAAAGTTAAGGGTTAGGTTTAGGGTTAGGGTTAGGTTTAGGGTTACGTTAAGCGTTAGGGTTAGGTTTAGCGTTAGGTTAAGGGTTAGCGTTAGGTTTAGGTTAAGGGTTAGGTTTAGGGTTAGGTTTGGGGGAGTTAGGGTAAGGTTTTCGCTTTAATTTTAAATTTACCGCTCACAGTGCGATGTTTTCGTCGCGCTGTGATGACGTCACGTACGCGCTTTCATCGAGCGCGCTTTTGTCTACCGCGGTTTTGTGGTGGAACCGTACAATCCCATCTCCCACAGTAGAATATGTGGCAGGCTTGAGGCCCACTGTAAAAGATGGCTTCCAGGCCTGACATCCAGTTGATTATCATTTGAGGATACTGAGAAAAGAGTAGGCAATAGCCTAATTGAATGTTTATGTACCATCTCTGATAAATCTCAGAGAACTGTCTCAGTATCAACTGGCTCAATAAAAACAGTAAAAAGAAGGACTCAGGAAACTACAAACCACTCAGTTTGATCCCAATACCTAAGGCCATCCTAGAATTGATACTAAAGAATACAATCCGTAAGCTCTTTAAAGTTAGCACAGTGGTTTACCAAACATGAAAATATCAACTAATTTGCTCAATTAAACATTTAGCTTTCTAGTAACTTGTTGGCTTGTGGGAAAGTTATAATTGCTATATATCTCAATTTCAGCAACACACTTAACAAAGTACTCTATGAGATTTTGATTTGTAAGCTAATTTTATGGGCTAATTGTCATACATATGATAATACATAGTAGATATATAGTAAGCTAGATAATCTTAGTCCAAAGTGTTTATTATCTATTATTTTTCAAACTAGAATGAAGTTTCAAATAACATTATTTAAAGTTCAGTCCTAGGCCTTTTATAATTTCATATTTTTATTATACAGCTTGAAAGGAATGTTTATGAACTATATACTTAGTATAAAGCAGAATGAATAATTAATAGATATAAAACTGAAAAAAAACCCTGATAGGTGAAAAAAAATGGTGTGGAAGTAGAAACAAATAAAATTCAACAAAAAGCATATTTATTCACTTAAAATATACAGGTATGGAGTGGCTTGATAATTGTACATTTGAAAGACAATTTAGCATACGAATTGATTGGAAATGGGATATTAGCCAGCATTGTAAAACAACTTCAAAAAGCTGAGTAGAATTCTAGGTTGCATCAATATAAATAAAATTCTTTAAATACGTGTAATGGTATGTGGGAACATCAAAAAAGAGACAGCACAGCCTGCAGCTACATAAAGATCAAGGCAAGAGGTTCAGAAGGGACTCTCTCTAATTTATGTCTCTAAAGGACAGCAGTTCAATTGGAATTTCAGACTTGCAAGATTCTATTAATGTAGTCTTTATCATAAAATAGATTAGCTAATCTAGTCCTGTTGCCTGGCTAATGTACAGACATTATGGGACACAATTGTTCTACTTTATTCTGCTTTGGCCAGACTCCACAAATTGTGCTTAATTCTGGATGCCACATTTTAGGGTTCAGACAAACAGAAGCAGGTCCAGAGGAAAACAGTGTGTATGACCAGGAGACTTGAACAAAGCCCTAAAAGAGATTAAAGTCATTGGAATATTGAGCCTTAAAAAGAAAATAAGTGGGGAGGGGAGGGAAGACTATGATGGCCTATTTCAGATGTTTCAAAAAATGTCAACAGAAAAAGGGCAGGACCGCTTCTTGTTCAACTTGCAAGATATAGAATAATGAATCCAAATCACAAGAAGATGGATTCCAGTTGAACATTAGGAAGCATTCTTTCTAATAATAAGAATTCAGTAGTTGAAAAT